AAGGTACAGGATAGTTCTAGAAAATAGGTGGCGCCACACCAGTCACGTGACCTCGATGACGCAACAGTATATTTCGCGAACTATATATATGCATTTCATGAAGTATGAAACTTTATTATACCTCTTTTTTTTCGACTTATTTCTTAATAAATGTGAAATATGAGAAAAACTCATCACATTATTGTAGTCGGTCGGTCATTCCTTAATATAATAACACGAATTGACTTGCTGTAATGTAAATTAATGCTGTAACGTCTCAACAGATGTCACTACCAGCTACTCTCGTTATTGCTGACACGTAGAGAAATATTCACTAGCATCTCCCAGAAAATCACATTCTTCTTTCACATATAAGAATCGGCCAAAATCAAAGTTAGGGATTTTATTTTCAATTGTAAAGTCTTTTTAGAAATATATTGTTATATAAAATATTAAGTTAAAATCCAATCCATATAAAGACAAACATTTCGACACTTTTACTTGACCTCTCACACAGCTTATTTTACGGCGGAAGTTCCAAAATGCTTCAGTACACAAGGCGTAAGAAAGGGGTTCAGCTTAAAATTACCTTCAGAGGTGTTAAACTTTAACACCTCTAATACCCTTATAATTTTCACAAAAATTTATGCTTGTGCATATTTAGAGTATTGTCTCTATGTATTTTTACAGATGGCTGGGATGGAATTTATATCTTCTGAAACATAGCGTTAAATATGTTTGCAACTGTTTCCTTGCGGTTTATACTATTAGTTAGTTCCTTCTGGAAATGAAACTCCGCCCAGTGTGAAAGAGGAAAAACAAGCAGTTTTATTAACTGTACGGGATTGTTAATCATATTCGTGGTCACACGCACGTGAGTTATGGCGGAAGTAGCTAAATTACATGTGAGAAAAAATATTACATGTACTGTACTGTGAAACTGATTATCATAGGCCGGTCGTGGCCTAGTTATTAGCGTGCCGGACTGTGAATCCGAGGTTCCATGGCTCGAGTCCGTTGCCATAAATTCACTATCCACACTTTGAGGCTGTGGATGTTTTATATTAGAGCAATGGCCAAATCATACTGTTCGATTGGAAGCCCAAGAGAACTGGCAGTGGGTGCTGTTGGCTAGCTGCCTTCCCTCAATCAATCAGTTCAAAATTTGTGTAATTTTGCGTGAATATTCGAAAGAAACAAACCAATGTTTCAAGCTTTTACGTGAAGAGACTTTAAATCCACCATCATACTCATAAAATAATGAGACCCAGACTTATTATTGTACTCACTATCAGTGAAGTTCCGGCATGGCCAAGTGGTTAGGGCGCTCGACTCGCAATCTGAAGGTCGCGGGTTCGAATCCCCGTCACACCAAACATGCTCGCCCTTTCAGCCGTGGGGGCGTTATAATGTGACGGTCAATCCCACTATTCGTTGGTAAAAGAGTAGCCTAAGAATTGGCGGTGGGTGATGATGACTAGCTGACTTCCCTCTAGTCTTACACTGCTAAATTAGGGACGGCTAGAGCAGATAGCCCTTGTGTAGCTTTGCGCGAAATTAAAAACAGAAACAAAAAACTAAAACAAACTAACAGTGAAAAAGTTAATAATATTTTTTCTCATTTGTACTGAAAAATGAGTAATGATATTGTTTTACATACATAATTATTTCACTGCTACATTCATAGATGACCAACTCTCCCAGTGCCAGATTTATTTTTAGATATACAATTAAAGACACATTTAGGAAGTTTGAAGGAAATAAATGCCCTTTTTTTTATGGTGGTACAAACTTTCAAACTCACGTGTGAATAATATCACACTTTTCAAGGCTAAACTGAAGGTTATATAGTGTGTTCAAACTGCTGTAGATAGGGTCATATATGTTTCCATGACAATAAAATAGTTTAGAGATAATAAGTATTCATTTCATTTATTTCTATCAAAATTTAAATATAGTTATCAGATAATGTTTAATAACCTTTAAACTTAGGTAGTTTTGTATAGTGTTGTTTAGTTTAATTCACGTGCTTTACACCCATTATTTATAAGATACTAGGGCTCTAAATATATAAGGGATTATAAGTTTGATTCAACCTTAATGTTCGTAACACTTACAACAACGTGACTGTGTAATAAATGGTCTTGCAGCCTTGTACTTTTCCCCCAGTCTTGGGTCATACAGACGACCAATAAAAAAATTCAGTACAATATCGTTGTTCTATTTGTTTTCTTGTTTTAGAGATCTTTAGACAGATGAATCTGTTCGATGACGAGGAACCCACTTTGAGATTAATAATGGCTGGGGACGGCTTAAATGGGTAATGAAGAAAAACTTTAATATAAGGCACCCCTACTCTAAACCAACACCCCGGGGTGCCTA